GCACTGGTGCTGGTTGAGAAAAACGGGCCAGTGGAACAGACAGCGTCCAGAAACACAACTGATCTACAGAAATGCTGGATGATGGAGCTGCTCGTCCACTAACTGAGAAAGGAGAGTTCTTCTCAAGAAAACGGTGCTCGGACAGTTGATTACTCACATGGTTAAAAAAAACGGAAACGGACTAAACCTCAACCTCACACCACATGCTAGACTAACACCCTAAATGTGGAAGGCAAAATTATAAAATTTTAGAAAACAATATAACAAGACTATCCTTATGATTCAAAAAACCCAACCATAAAAAAGCCATAAATCTGACTATATTAAAATGTAAAATTTCTGCATCAAAAGACATAAGGAGAGTAAAAAGGTAAGCTATGACTTAGAGAAGTTATCTGCCACATGTAAAACTGACAAAGGATTAGAACGCACAACACATAAAGAACTCTTACAAATCAACACGAAAAAGACACAACCCAGAAGAAAAATAGGAAATAGGCTTGAACAGGCACTTCACAGAACAGAAAATGGGAAGAGCCAACAAGCAGACAAAAAGATGCCAACTTCACTCGTAATCAGGTAAATGCAAAGTACTGCTCACACCACCTTATACCCACCATGTAAGTCTGAGTACGAAGTGTGGTGTGGAGCAGCCCAAACACTAGACGTGGTGGGTGGACTAGAACTTGGTACAATCCTTTGAAAACAGGTTGGCATTACCCGGTAATGCACCTACACTAAAAGACAGCAATTCTACAGAAACTCTTGCACATGTGAGCAATGATGTTAGCAACAATTCTGTTCATAAGGTTAAAAAAAAAAAAGAAACAACTCCCAGAAAAGAGACAGAAATGAATGAAACCTGCTCGGGGGCTGGAGGACCGTGCCGCAGCTAAGACAAACATGACAACAGGTGAAGACAGACATCTCTGAGGACTAGAGGTGCCTCCAGATACATCAAGTTCAACAACATGCAAAACTAACAGTGTGCTGTTCGGGAAAACACACATATAAGGTACAACTATGAAGAAAAGCAGGAAGATGGTAGCATGAAATTCAAGACGGTGGTGAGTTCTGAGGGGGAAAAAAGGAGATGGAAGTGCAGAGGAGGGCCGGGGGCCTCACAGGCCACGGTCAAGTTCTGAAACTCAGTGGCAGAGCCACAGGTGTTTGGTATTATTTGATCTTTTATTCCTTAAATATATTTTATAAATATATTATTTTGTACCTACTCAATGTTTAAATAGTTGACAACTTGATTAATCTAAACAGAAATATTCATTCCTATTAGGTTTCTAAGGAGCCCTGTGGCACAGTGGTTAAAGCCACTGACTGCTAACCAAAAGGCTGGCAGTTGGAACCCACCAGGGGCCCCACAGGAGAAAGATGTGGCAGTCTGCTTCTGTAGAGATTTACAGCCTTGGAAACACTGTGGCGTCGCTAGGAGTCAGAATCAACTTGGTAGCAGTGCGCTTGGTTTGGGTATTAGGTTTCTGGGGCTCTGGGTTGAATCAGGGGCCCAAATTATTATTCAAGTCCCTGCAAAGGGTACCAGAGAGCCTAGGAAAAGCACATTGAGTTTTCTATGCGGATGCTGGGCCTACTTATCAACCAGACTGGCAAGCTTTTCTAGAAAGGGTTAACTGAAATCGGGTCTCAATGCTTAGTGCTCAAGATGGCAGCTGGTCTCACGTCCAAAAAATTAGTAAAAACTGTTTTGCATCACAAAACCTCCCGTTACAAGAGGTACCACAAGTCAGACAGCACTTCCTTAGACAGCCGCTACACTCTGGTTCCTAGCAGAGTGACCTGGTGTGTGAGCATTTAAAAATGGCTCTAAAACTAATGATTCTTCACAGTACCTGATGCTTTTGGACTCCTGCACAAACACAGGGTTCTGTCCAAAGGCAGCTCTGTGCTACGGAGCAGAACCTCCCCTTTCGTCCCACACAGAGTTCCTGACACAGTTTACAAGGAGACACGCAGGCTTGTCGGCCCGGCTCCCGACGCGGGATCCAACGGCCCCTAGATGAGACCTGGGCAGCACAGTCACCCCAGAAGCAGGGTAAGTCTCACTCCAGGATTTAGAGGCAGAGACCAAGAGCAAGGCAGGCTCGCTGGACTCCCTGCTCCCTCACTCCTTTCCCAAACAAAGCGCTTCACTCCTGCTCTAACACAGACTCCAACGACAGAGTCCATGCTCCAGACAGTGATCCAGCTGTTTCTGATCTGTGAAAAAGGGAGTTCTCTGGTAGCCAGCTAGGCCATCTCCAGCCTCAAGTCATTCATCAGAGGACGAGGCCCCAGAGCCTTCAGCTCCTGGGTGTCTCTGGGCAATCTGCCAAGCCCCCAGGAGACCTGACCACACACCTGTTGGGGGGGTTTCTAAGCCCTGACTTACTCTCACTTTCCATACCCATCTGTCCCTAGGGTAGGGACACTTAGTGGGGCCCCCAGTACTCTTTATAAAACAAAACAACACATCCTTCCATTGGTTCAAATGTTCCCAATAATTTATTCACCAAGTTCCAAATCTGGAAAAAAATTAAGACTTTAAGGATGATGAAGAATAATGAAATCAAATCCTGAAGCCACTTTTATGGAGACTGTTTCAAGCGCAATAACCAGAATTTGCAATAAACAGGTCACTGCCTAAACCCCGACCTCCCCGAGTTATCCAGGAAACGAGCAACGGACGGAAATTCCTAGAGGGGCCACAGTGGTTTAGCCTCTAGCTGTCCTCCCCACCGTCAGCACAGCACCGGCACACAGGCTGCAGGGCCCGAGAACGCGTCTGCTCTGCTGCTGAAATCAGGTGAACAGACAGAAGTCCACTCTGACCACGAGGCCTGTCGAGACCCGACCGCCAATACCGAGTTTAGGTGTGGAATGCAGTGGTAGCCTCTGGGGCGTCGTCCTCTGATGAGTGACTTTGGAGGTTAGAGACGGCCTAGCTGGCTAATAGAGAACTTGCTTTTTCACCGATCAAGAATAGCTGGATCACTGTCGTACAGCCAGAAACACAGCCAACTTGGACAGAGCAGAACAGTTTGATCACACTGGACATTCCAATCACACATCTGTCCCCTCTAATACTACTGGTACCAAAAACTAAATTTCATGAACATGATGGAATCAACCCCCACAAAAACCACCAATGACTGAGAACACGAGTCCTGTTCACCACCAGTGGGAAACTGGAGAATCCTATCTTACTGGTAAAGTGGAACCAACTCCAATGGCCATCAGGTGGTGAGTGGGTAACGGAATGCGGCATGTCCAGACAGTGGGATGTTACTTCATCATAACGAGGAAACAAAGCTCTGATGCGTGTTACGACGGCTCACCCCAGAAAACATTCCGCAAGCGAGAGAAGTCAGACACAAGAGGCCACGTAACGCATGACTCCGTTTACAGAAATGTCCAAAAAAGGCTAACCGTGGAGGCAGAAAGGAGATCAGCAGTTGCTGTGGACTGGGAGGGATGGGAGACGGGGGGGTGACGGCTAAGGGTGCAGGGCTTCTCTTGGTGGGGACAAAAATGTTCTAGAATTAGACTGTAGTGAAGGCTGCACAACACTGTGACTATACTAGAAACCACTGACCATACTAGAAAGAATTTAATGGGTGAATTGTATGGTACGCGAATTATACCTAAATAAAGCTACTAAAAAGTTAGACATGGGAGGAATAGTAAAACTATGACTGAAAGTACACACATGGATTTAAAAACTGTTGAAAAAATTCAAATCATTTTAAAGGAACTAGATTTTCAAACTTTGACCTAGATACCTTGGACACGGTATAACGGGCCATAAAGAGAACTCTCAGTGACAGTAAACTTAGGTATGATGAAAACACTCAGTCTCATTAGTGACTGAAAAAGTGCACGTTCAAACCTCAGGACACTACTTTCCCCCACCACACAGGCAAGACAAAGGCGTTGGATAACACCACGTGCTGTGAGGATGTAGGTGCTGGGTAACAGCGGGTGTTGGTGAGGATGTAGGTGCTGGGTAACAGCGGGTGTTGGTGAGGATGTGGAGAAATGAAGACTCTCATCCGCGGCGAGTACTCGGTGGCTGAGCATTTCCCAAATGTGATGGAAACCATAAACCCACAGATCCAAGAAGCTCAACAAACCACAAGTATAAGATACAGGAGGAAAACTACACTGAGGCACATCACAATCAGATTGCTTACAGCCAGGGATGACTAGAATTTTACAGCAGCCAGGGACAAAAAGACTTGTCACAGACAGAGGAAAAAGGATAAGGAACACATCAGACTTCTTCCTGGAAACAACGTGAGCCAGATGACCGTGAGGCAAAAACCCATCAATCCAGAATTCTTCACAGTGAAAATATCAGAGAAGCACACGCAGGTGGACCTGCACTCTGAGAAACACTAAATGGCACCAGGTGGAATCCCGGTCTACCCGGAAAGGTAACCTGGTCGGCGCCTCTGTCACAACCCGGGAACAACTCCCAAGGGTACAAGTCATGTCTTTAGCAGTCTTAGAGGAGGCATCTCACTCCTACATGTTCAAAGCTGACAACATTTTCCAGTAAATACAGTTTTTCTAGCTTTCACAAGAAATACAGATTAAGAAATAGACAGTTACTTGTCTAAAATGTTAGCTTAAACCCTGGTCTCCTCAGGAAAGCCTGATTACTGACCACACAGCTCCCTTCTTTACTAGTGGTGAGGCCCTGGCATACATTGCTTCTCTGGAACTGTGTGCTGCAAAGGTTTGGTTTGGCGTTGCACATCCCAAACCTAGCGTGTGTTCTTCTAGCTCTTGGTATAACGCCTAACATCACAAAAGCCTGGGTAGCTAATAATGAACCCTGGAAGTGCTATGGAATGCGATATGCATTTACTCACAAGCAGGGTTCCAAGTAACCACGGTTGATAAACGGTTAGAAAACTCCACAACAGGCAAACATTCACACCGCTCGCCACCTGCTCAACTCCTCGCTTTACCACCACGCCACTTACCTTGTAGAACACGTCCGGCACGTACTGCTCGCTGCTGGACTCCTTGGCGTAGCCGAGCTCGGGGGCGTCTTTGCACGGCAGCAGACACTCGTCGCGGACCAGGGCCATGCACTGATTGGACACCTGGTAGCCTTCAAAATGGACCTGGTTGTCAGGGCCACCTGCGAGAGAGAGAGAGACATCTTTAAAAAGTCGACCAAAGGGACTTCAAAACACATACCTGTTACTCTTCACTTCTGACCAACAGAAAAGATAAAACTCTTGGTTAAGAATTCAAAACCATTCGAGGGTAATTTCACCAGGAGCTTGAGCACAAAGGCCTTGGACATGCAGCGTCTAGACTCTGCTGCTCTGACCGACAGCCTCTTTGCGGCACGAAGACGTCTCTAGCGGTGGCATACTCTATCAGAATTGAGGAAACTCAGGAACGTTCAACACCACACTCTGACCTTCGCCTAGAGGGATGCTTGGTGACATCAAGCACTTGGGTTCCTGGCTTTTAACAGCTCGAGGGATAAAAATGACATAGTCCTAATAGTAGCTAACTTTTGTTCCTGAAAGAATGGGGGGTGGGGGGAAATAAATTCGTTTGGAGGTGGAAACGGGCGGGGGAGGAGACACAAGAAAGCAAGAGAGAAAAAACTGCTTTCAGTCAACACAGCTGTAGGTACTTGTACTGCACACAGAGCAGTCTCTACAAAACCCTACACAGCCACCACTGAATCAATGCTACAAGTGTCACCCCACTGAGGCAACAACTCCCACATTTTGGAGGTGCCACGGGCAGCATGTCACACCCTCCAAGCCCAGGTCTTCTCGTTGGTGACTGGATGCTGCACCCCGCCCTCCACTCTGCACCGCTCTCAGCGCCCCCTGTATGACACCTCCATGACGACTTAACATTAGGGGCAAGGGAAGTCCAAAAGCTCCTGAGAGGGAATGACACGGTCAAGCTGAAGCAGGTAGGAGCTGGGGCCCCAAATCCCTGAGACGGCGAGAACAGGCAACGCTGTGAGAGGAGGGGGCGTCTGCAAGAGGCAGGAAGAACACGCATGTGGCACAGGGTGCGGGCTCACACCGACGGCTCCATGGCCGTTAACACTGTGGCTTTACAGAACACAAACTAACCCTCTGCAGTGCAACAGGTTTCTCTTATCTATGGCCCTTCTGGCTTGGCTTTATAATGCTGCCAAAGTGACTGGCTGGGCCACAGTCTTGCAAGGAATTGGTCAGTCTACTATGCAAATAGGGTGTATACAACTACCCAATAGGATTAAGTGACCTTTGGGGGAATTGGTCGATTACTATGCAAATTAAGTGACTGTGGCCAACCTAGGCGATTGGTTGGTCGTGGTCTGGTAGGAGGACCATGACTTGAAATTGACAGGAAGTAGGCTTACAGAAGGGCCAACTGCACAGAAGTTGAGGGGCCTTCACTACCACCAAGAAGAGTCTGGAGTGGAGAACGTCCTTTGGACCCAGGGCCCCGTGCTGAGAACGTCCTAGACACAGGATTCCTGACAGACAGCGTGTAACACTGAAGATGGCGCGAAACCAGCGGTAGAGAAACGGCAGAAGTACGAACAGCAGGAACCAGGAGACTGGCACGAGGCAGCTGCAGTGTGCTTGCCGACCCTCGGAGCGAGAGAGCGCTAAGTGCCTCTGGGCATCTGTCGGCAAAGCTAAAGAGCTGTAACACTTGCTTGAGCAGGGCACAGCCAAGAGAAGGCCCAGTGTGGGGCACAGCCAAGAGAAGGCCCGGTGTGGGGCACAGCCGAGAGAAGGCCCGATGAGGGGCACAGCTGACAGAAGGCCCGGTGGGGGGCACAGCCGAGAGAAGGCCCGGTGGGGGGCACAGC